GACAGAAAAAGTGAGAACTTTACCCACAGGGGCATGCCATACCACAATCTCTTCTCCTCTAGTCTTCCAGGATTTGGGCCATGCATGCACATGCACCCAGCATGATTGTCAAGCAGCCAGGTCTGGTACTTGAACCATAGTTGGCCATACAAGAATCCAGCGCCTTAACCACCATGCCTCCTGCTGGCCCCAGATTGCAGAGAATTGAAACTAACACAATTGTATCACAGCATCTTAGGACGGGTAGAAAGTGCCAGATGTTATATTAATTATTATTCCTGTCTATTAAACAGAAATCTTGCCATCCCTTTACTCTGGACAATATTAGCATCCTGGAGCTCAGCAAGGTACTTGGCCTTGGGATGAGTGTTCTGATCCATAGGGAGGCTCTATTTGGGAATAATATTGTACATCTTTTCACAGGGTGGTTATAGAAAGAAAACTTTCTTAATAGTGAAAGTGATGTATACTCTTAAAAATAAGTACAAAGAAACTCACCCTTTTTCATGTTTCGCAAAATTTTCAAACTCTACAAAATGGAAGAAAAAGAAATTATTAGTTTTTTCCTGTGAAATCCAAAATACTTTAATCAAGTAGAAATACAGACTTAAGTCAAAAGGATTAATCTCCTTAAGAATAGCCATAAAAATGTGCAGTTATTTTTCCATTTTGCCATTTTTAATCCAGTGCAAAATCTCCACTTAATTTTATCATGCTATTTTTCTCACCCAAATAAATACCACACTACATATTTAGAAATGACGTTAATAGAATAGCAGGGGAAAATGAAGTTCCTCCTTGTCTCCTTTATGAGGATCATACCAGAACTCACAATGGCATTTAAATACTGCAATGATACACTGCCATGCCTATTTCAGTGAAGAATTCTGGCTGTCCGCAATTTACTAAGGCCCACTTCCATACTGTTAGCCTTGCTGTTTCCTTCTCACACTTTTCAGCAAAACCACATTCTCTACCTCCTTTGTGGTGGAGTCTCTAATTTATCTCTTCCAGAAACCAACCCAGATTTTTTTCTTTACTCCACATATCCTTAGCATGTATATCTGCTCCATGGTATTTTATTCTTCTTGATAATATTCATGTTATCTCATTTAGGTGTTCTGTTCTAGAAAATTAACTATACTCCTTTTCAAGGGCAGCTAGATATCATTTATCACATTTCTATTTTTCCTAACACCTAACAGAAGTGTACTCTTTTGTATAATAGATAACTAATTTCTTTTTACCAAAGTTTTGATTAAAAAATAATTTATGGGGACCAGCAGTTGTCGTAATGGCTATGTCACTGGACTCCCAAGTAGTTGACTGCGGTTTGAGTCCCGGACCTGGTGGCTTAAATTCACGCCGGGTGCATGTGTGTGCGTGCCCAAGATCTCGAGAGGAGAATGGAGGAAAAGGGGTTGTGGCATGGCCATTCCCCTGGGGGATGATTTCTCACTTTCTGTCTCTCTGTCCCTTTCTGCCTTTCTGTTGAGTGCACGCGCCATATAGCAAAAAACCTCTCAAAAAATTTTTATGTACAATTATAAAATTCTAGTAAAAATGATCCCACCCTTGTCCTCCAGCTACTCAGTTTCTAATTCTCCTCTGGTACATAACCATTAGTTTCTTATGTATCATTGCAGAGTTACTTAGGAATATACTCATATAAATAAATATACATACACTGTAGATTTTTTTCTCACTTTAAGCAAAATTTAATAAATTATATATGAATATATTGAGAGAGTCTTTTGGGGGGGGGTTAGGGGTATTTTTTTTTAGGTTTTTGTCAGAGAACCACAGAGACAGAGAAGGAAAGTGAGAAATCACCCCATAGGGGGAATGGCCATGCCACAATCTCTTCTTCTGTTTCCTCCTAAGATTTTAGGCACACCCACATGCCCAGTGTGATATTCTAGCTGCCTGGTCCAGGACTTGAACCATGGTCAGCCGTGTGGGAGTCCAGCATCTTAACTTCCACATCACCTATTGGCCCCCATCATCTTTTTTTTAATCATACAGTATTCTGTTGTATTAGACATACCGTGATTTATGAGTTACTTAAGCAGGTCCCCTAATTAACATTTGTGCTATCTACTCTTATAAATAATGCTACAGTGAATACGTGATATATAGTGGGTGCAAACATTTGTAAGATAAATTCCTAGAACTTAAATTGTTGGGTCACAGGATATGTGTATCCATAATTTTGATACTGTTACTGCAATCTCTTCTCCCCTGTTCTCTCCTAGGGATTTTGAGCATGCACACACATGCACACAGCATGAGTTTTAAGCCGCCAGGTCTGGAACTTGAACCACAGTCAGCCATGTCAGAGTCCAGCAATGTAACCATCATGCCATCTCCTGGTCCCTATTATTATTTTCTTTAATATGCTATAGGACCAGTGTGCTAACCAGAGAGAGAGATAAAATGAGAAAGCAAGTCACCTGGTCTGGGACTCAAACTGCAGTTGGTCATGTTGGAGTGCAGAGCCTTAACCACCACACCCATTGCTGGCACAATTCAGCAACAATTATTAAGACAGCCATCTCTATCCCTGATTTGAGATACCACTTTCACAATATGCTAAATTCCTACATATATTTGAATCTGTTTGTGGACTTTGTATTATATTCTGTTGGTATGTATTTGTTTCATGTACATTAAAATGTGATACCATTTTGATTATGAGGATTTATAATGTCTTAATAACTGATAAAGCTGTCTTTCATTGCTTTTATTTATTTATTTAACAATTTTCTGGCTATTCTTACTCTTTTTCCCCCATATGAACTTTAGAATTAGTTTGTCTAGTTTTAGGAATAAACTATAGTTAGTACTTTTTATTGGGCATCTTAAATGTATAAGTCAACATAAGGAGAGAAATAAATTCTTAACTAAGTGCTATTTTTGCTTCTTTTTATTTCCTTTTATTAGTCTTGATTTTTATAAGATCAGCAGTTTTAATTTGTATCTTCCTTCACTAATGGAAAACTTCTGGCATGTTTCCTAAAATCCCACCTTCTTTACCTTACTTCTTGTGAAGCTTCTACCAGGACTTTTCAGTATCTGTTTTGAAGATGTTGAATTTTCCATGGTGTCAGGACAGCTAGTAGAATAAGCTTTTATAGATTGGGCCTGTATACCTTAAAAAAATACATGAGAAAAACAATGTTTTGTTGTATAGCTTCCTAAGCTTTCAGGCTATATTACTATATAGGTATGTATTCCTTTTTTAAAAAAGAATTATTTATTTTATTTTATTTATTCATTCATTTATTTTTTATTTGACCAGAGAGAGACACATACAGAGAGAGAGAGAGGAAGTGAGAAAGCAAGCCACCAGGTCCAGGACTCAAACCATGGTCTGCCACATGGAAGTGTCAAGCACCTCACCTACCACACTCTGCTGGCCCCCCAGTATATAGGTATGTATTCTTTACTCCCCCCAGTTTATTTATTTCTTTCATGAGAAACAAGACAAATACCCTTCAGAGTCTCATGCCATGATCCACTCCTCCAGCCTTCCCAGCCAGCAAGGATCACTGCGTGTACAGGTCAACCAGGGATGGAGCCCGCAATCTACCGTATGAATCTGCCATCACCTGAGCAGTGCATTAGCCACCCGGCCAGCCCATACTCAGCAATCCCTAGATTGGCTTTTTTAGGCATTATTCTATACATTATAGGTTTTTTCAATATATTCTTTTTTTTTACAGGCCAGCCCCATAGTACAGTGGTTAAGTGCTGTGCATCAGTACCTGGATCGCACATGGCCAACTGTGGTTCAAACCCAGCCTCAGCAGCTTGAAAATCACCCTAGGCAGGAGTGTATGATACCCCAAACCCTGATGAAATGGAGGAAAAAGGACTGGCGTGACCGTGCCCCATGGAGGACCTCTCTCTCTCTCTCTCCCTCTCCCTCTCTCTCTGTCTGGTGAGTGCATGTACCCTCTGTCCAAAAAAAAAAGTATTCTTATTTCATTGTATTATTTTTACCTTTTCCACTTAGATTCTCCTTTATTGTTAACTTTTTAATATTCTCATTTTATAACCTTTTGGAGAGAAAATACTGCCACTTACAATCTTCATCAGCAATGATGAAAGACGCTAGTGTTCTTTCTGGGAGTGGCGGTGGTGGGGAAGAAGAACGATCTTGATAATGATCTTGATGTAAATCTGTGGTAAGAATATACAACAAAGCGAAGAAATCCTTCACTTAAAAGTCACAAGTCAAGACCCTTTTCAGCTTTGTATGCTTCTTCCAATTAATCAATCTTAGCCTATGACCACTAAGTAAAAAATTATCTGAACAGTGACCATGGCTTCAAGAAGGTTGCTTTTCCACTTCTTTAGCAGATGAGATTGATTCATTGAAACTTGTAGCTCACTCATAGTAGAGTTCTTACAAAGAAATTGAAACTAAATTGAATCAAGCTTCTGAGTCTAATTATCATTTACAAAATCCTGGGGATAGAATCATATAAAATAAAACCATATGTATATAATTAACTAAAGCCAGGATGTTAAGAAGTCTTTAAGACAAATGACCCAGTCTCCTCAATAAATAAATGGTATGAAAAAGTTTTGAAAAGAAAAAATTGTTACAGATTAAAAGACTTAAGAAACATATGAACCAAATACAATGTGTAGACTTTGTTTGAATCTAAATTCAAATGATCTAACTGTAAATAGACATTTTTTAGACAACTGAAGAAATTAGAACATGGTCTAGATATTAGATAAAAGCAGACACTTCAAAAAGTTCATGGAAAGTACACATTATGAAACTATGGATTTCAATTTTTTTGTGGCTGTATAACCTATGTTTTTTTTTAGAGAGATACTTTTGCTATAGGGCATGTGCACTCACTGGAGAACAGAAAGAGTGAAAGCAAGGAATCACTCCCCTGGGGGAATACCATGCCGCAGTCCCTTCTCCTCCATTCTTCTTTTGGGATTTTGGGCACGTATACACATGCACCCAGCATAAGTTTTAGGCTTCTGGATCCGGGACTCAAACCGTGGTCAGCCATGTGAGTGTCCAGCAATGTAATCATTCAACTATCTGCTGGTCCTTACACTCCTATTTTAATTCCATTTTCCATGAACATTTTGAAGTTCCTGATATTAAGGAATTATTAATTTTGCTGGTTTCATAATGCTATTATAGTAATCTTAAAATGTGTGTTTGAAGTTTTCTATAATTTAATGTAGCTAACTTCCTGTAATATAAACTAAAGGTATAGATCGCGTTCTATTGACATAAGCTTCTCATTAATTATATAGAGCCAAGCATTATTATATACTATCTTAATGCATTTTGAAAATGAAAATTCAGTTAAGTACTAGGCTTTTTACTTGTCATTGGTCATTGGGTTTTTTAGGACTTATAATTTATCTATAAAGAAAGTTTTTTGTTTATTTCTTATGTGTTGGACAGTGTATGAAAGTCCAGGACCTAATACAATAACTGGCACATAATAGATAGGCACTTAATAAATATCTGATAACTACTTGGAAGTAGTTTATCATTTTCAATTGGCTGTTAGGAAGTATTCTGAGAACTAAGCTGTCAGTGAATATCCTAGCAGGTATCTTCCTAAAGTATCATTTCATCTTAGTACGCCCTTGATGAAGGACTCACAGTGCCTATTAATGCACTGAATCTAAGTCCCTCCGCCTAGCTTTGTGTGTGTACTAAAATACACAAGCAATTTGCCATTAGGGACATTTAGTACATTCACAGTTGCAGAACATTTTTCATCACTCCGAAAGGAAACTCTGCACTCAGTAAGGCTTTTCCCACGTCCCCCAGCCCCTGGTAACCACTAATCCGCTTTCTGTTTTGGTGGAGCTGCCTATTATAGATGTTTCACCTGACGAGGTTTTAAGTCCTTCAGAGTCTTGCTACATCTTACCAACCCAAATATATTTTCTGTATTTCACAAACTAAAACCTCTATTGCGATAAAAAATAGTCATCATCTCTCTGTATACATCATGCTCATTTTTACCTTTAAGTCATCATTAGCTGACTTGGAGTTCTCTTTTTTTTCCTCTCTGTCTATCCAAATTACTTAAGAGTTCTTTCTCAGTGAGTCCTTCCCTGACCACTCCAGTAATATCATCCTGTTTTTCAAGTCTCCTGGTGATTATAGTCAGCATCACATAGATTATCATTTAATGGTTCTATGTATGTATTAATTTTATCTGTTTACATATAAGTATTAAGTAGTTTTATATATTCTGCCTATTCTAACACTTTGTAAAGTACACAGAACTTGCATAGTAAGTGGTCATGTAATTATTCGCTAATAAAAATGATAATAGATAGCATTTAATGAGAGTTAACTTTTTGACAAAGCACTGTGCTAAAAGCTTTATATGCATAATCTCACTTAATTCTCATGAAAATCCTATAATGGATTCTATTCTCATTTTGTAAATCATAAGAATTCCAGAAAGAATTTAATTTGACCAAGGACATGCATTTTGATAATTCTTGGTAGACAAGGAATTTGAATTATCTGACTCCAAAGCCCATGCTCTTTAACCTCCATGCTAGTACCTATTTGTATGTTTTAATAATATGTTAATATCAATAAATACAAAATATGTTAAGGACAGCTGCCACCTGTGATAATATATGCAAAGTCTAAGTGCCCAGTGATGGTTAGCTGTTATGCATAAAACAAGAAAAACTCTGGAAAATACTGGAGAAACAGTGACAAATTAAAAAAATTAAGTAGCCAGAAATGATTTTTTAGACTCACACTGTTAACAATAATAAAACCTATATAATGAAAAGGCTGCAAAATCTTAAGAGAGTCTATCTGAAATAATTCCTTAAAGGGTTATATATTAAGAAGCAGAATTCTAAAATCCTGCCTACCATGCCCTTGACCAAAGAAAATTCCTGTTTTGAAAAACCCACAAATATTAGTTTGTCAGGAAAGTCATGATGTACTTTTCTAGCAAAAAATACATCATGACTTTCCCAGTAACCCAATAAACTGATAAATAGCAGAAGCTATTATGGGAACCCCATAGCCTCCTGAGGCGAATTACTCTAAAGTTAATGAGCCAGTGTTACACTACAAATCCTTAGGGCTACATTCATCTAAAGCCAAGAGAAATTTTTACCTGATTTAGGTCTTCGAAGTTTTACACTCTTAAAAAAAAGAAAGAAAGAAAGAAAGCAAAGTGAAATAATATGTATAAACATTATATAAATTCAAAATAATAAATGGCATTTTTTGAAGTGACACCTCATGTACTGAGAGAGATAGTTATGAAATGTAGACCCAATTTTTCTAATTTTTCCAATTTTTCTAAGTATGCTGAATTACAAAAAGAATCCTTAACTCTTACAGTGATTATTAATGATGGTAATTGGTCCAAAATTGATCTTTTCCTGATTATTTATTTCCTATTAGAACATTTTCCAGGGCCAGCAGAGGGTGTAGTGGTTGCATAGCTGGACTCTCACATAGCCGCAGTTCAAGTCCTGGACACAGTCTTGAAACACACAGAGCACATGTGTGTTACTTCATTTTAAATGTTTCTTCAGTTACTTCAATTACTTTTCTGACCTCTGAATTGGTGAGATAGTTGGTTTGCAGGATATATATAAAGATGCATAGCAGATTGTTAGAAGGGTAGATATTTCTCTTCCAGATGCAAGAAACATTATTCCAAAAGTTTTATCTTAAATAATATGTACATGTCATTCAAAAAATTACTTTCAATACCATGTTATCACTGCTAACATGGTACAACTTACTACATGACTATAGTAAACAAGCGACCTACCTACTTAAGAAACATTTATTTTTGCCTAAGTATACTTCAAGAATTAACCCAAACATTTCTTCTTTCACCAAGTCAACCTTGACCACTTCCAACCACACTTTTAAACCTATCTTTCATAAACCATTGATCATACTTGCCTTGTTATTATAAATACAGACAAAAATAAAGACGTAAACACATCCTAGGTCTTTTCTTACTATACTGTAAATTTCTTAAGGACAACAGTTGTATCTTATATATCTTTTTAATCTCCCCACATTTTCTAACACATTGTTTTATATTTAGTATCTGCTTTATATTTATTTATTGAATGATGGGTTTTAAAAATGCAAGGAGGAATCTGTGAATTCACATGAGTTGAGTCAGAAAAAAGTTACTGACCTTACTTGGTCTAAGTCTCACAGAGTCATCAAATTTCTTTGATTCAGATGTTCCACTCCATTCCAATGATGTTCCGATTTTCACTTTTACTGCTGAAGATGAGGATTTGGGGACACTTGCTGGGAATTCTCCTGGAAGAAAGTGAATGTGATCCAGTTCTTAGGAGGGAGTGGTATTATTCTTTCAGAAATCAAATGTTGCTCAGCAATAGCACACAAAATGTTGAAAGGACCTGAGAAGTAATCTAGTTAATCCACACTTTATACTTACTGCACTGTACTCACCAGCTTCCTCCACCACAATAAAAGATTCAGGTGTCCGTTCAGGAAGTGGAGGAGGAATTTCATCATCTATCCTCAGAGAAGTTGCTATCCAAAATGTCAGAGATATAATTAGAATTTTTCATTAGAAAAATCCAAAGGAAATTCTTACATTTTAATTTGAATATAAATTTAATTCAGCTTAATTCAATTGAATATAAATTTAACTTATATTTAAATTCCATTAAAGCATCTTTAACTATTAACCTGGTACTTCGTCACTCAAGAAAAAGCCAAAATAAATTCTCTCATCTTAAGGTAAAAACTTAAGTTGGTTTTTGCTTATTATTCCAAATGTATCCATTCTTTTCTGCCAGTGTATGGTGTGATGGCAAGCTGGAACCCATCTAATTGACTGTGGTTCAAGTCCTAAACCTAATAGCTTGAAAAACAAGCTGGGCACTTGTGCATGCATGCCCAAAATACCAAAAGGAGGGAGAGGTGGAGGAGAAAGGATTGAGGCATGACCATCTCCCATGGGATGCTTTCTTGCTTTGCATCTCTCTCTCCCCCTTGCAAGTACATGTGCTCTCTGGCAAATTTTTTTTTCTTTTAAAAGTCCAAAAGTATTTTAGTTGAGTAACAATTAACCTAATATAAAACATTCTACTTATCTAGAAAGCTCTCAATTGTTTTCTACATAACTCTTTTCTTTTGTTAAACAAGACTACATAATAGAGCATTACAAAGCACTTTGACATGCTAAAAATTAATTACACAGTAGGTAAAAACAAAAAGATGTATCTTTCCCTCCTTCTACACAGAATCCAGCAATATAGATGTTTCCTCTTTTGCAAAACAATAGTATAATACAGTTTTTATATTTCTATGAAAACAATCAGAATTTGTATAGAAAAATTTAAATGCTTGGGCTGGCAGGTGGTGTGGTGGTTAAGGGCACTGGACTCCTACATGGCCAATCATGGTTTGAGTTCCTGAAGGCTTGATTTCTCACCTTTTCTCTCTCTCTCTCTCTCTCGAAATATTATAATATATAATAAAGCTAAATAAAATCGTTCTTTAAAAACAATTTTTTTAAGTGGTAATATAGGAAAGCTGCCACCAGATGGCACACATGTCAATGTTGCTATAATCCTTGCAAATAAGGATTTGGTTTTTAATGATATTGATGCTCAAAAAGTCTAAGGTACTATGAGTATTTAGAAAAAGAAAATACCTGTAAATTATAGAATAAGATCCAAGTATGTAAAATAATCAAAAATGGAACTTCCTAGATCCAGACAAAATATTTTTGCAGCAAAGCTACCAATGGTCATCTATTTAGTAAGAAGCTATATAGGGACCAGCAGTTGGCATAATGGCTATGTCACTGGACTCCCATGTAACTGACTGTGGTTCAAGTCCTGGACCCGGTGGCTTAAACTCATGCCAAGCGTGTGTGTCTGCATGCCCAAAATCCCAAGAGGAGAATAGAGGGATTACGGTATGGCCGTCCCCCCTGTGTGCCCAAGATCCTGAGAGGAGAATAGAGAAGGGATTACGGTGTGGCCGTCTCCCCTGGGGGATGATTTCTTGCTTTCTCTCTGTCTTGTCTTTCTGGCAAGCGCATGCACCCTATAGCAAAATCCTCTCAAAAAAAACCCAAAACTATATAATAAATAAGTTTAGAGAGCAAAATTTTACTACTTAGCTTTCCCTTACTTTCTTCCACATAATCTCTAACAAGATACTCCTACTTTTAACTTACACAGTTAAAAAATGCGGAATATGCAACAATCCAGAATTATAAAAGAGATTAGTATGAAAGGAAAGGTGTATATAAGGTACATATTTCCCACAAAATATATTCTCATCTAATAAATTGCTACAAAAGGGCAGGACATTTGGTCCTCCCCTCCAGCTTCTACAGGAAGACAATTCAGTTCTTAGCAATACCTTCACCTTCTTGCAGCCACATGATATTCTGAGTGACCACCTGGTACAATCATTTTTTTCCTGCTGCTCTTTTGGAAGCTGTTTCTCTGTGTTAAGGGTAAATTGTGGGCCTTTGATGTACATTTCAGGAATGAGGACCACTGTACACAAGCACTCCTGCTGGCACGGATCTGACTGCCTTCACTGCTGCCTATTTCATGGAGTATTACATGTTTGACCTTGCTATTGTCACTTCTATTAAAACTCTCCTGGAATTATTTTTTCTTTAATTTGCTATAGTGTGTGTACACTTACCACAAACAGAGAGCGAAAATGAGAAAGCAACCACTGGGAAGATGGCCAAGCCACAACCTCTTCTTCATCCTCTTCTCTGGATTTTGGGCACACATACATATGTGCCCAAACCCATTTTTCAAACCATCAGTCTGGGATGCAAACCCACACCGTCAGCCATGTGGGATCCAATGTCTTATCCACACCACTGGCTGGCCCCAGAATTTACGGTTTTGAGGAGGAAAAGGAATAAAAAAAGAAAGCCAGAGGAGGGGTAGGGGAGAAGAAACCACATAGTCTATAGAAATGGAGTGAAATCTGGCCCAGCCCCAAGGTGCAGTAGTTAGATGTTGTATGCTGGAAGCAGAATCCCACATGGCTGACTATAGTTTGAGTTCTAGTCCGGTGGCTGGAAGGGCCTTCTGGGCAGAGTGTGTGTGTGTGTGTGTGTGTATACACACTAGTGTCCTGAGAGAATAGAGAGATGAAAGGAAAGGTTGCTACATGGTGACCAGAGAGGTGAGCTTTTTCTCTCTGTTTCTCTTTCTCTGGTGAGTGCTTGCACCCTCTGCCAATCTTTTTTTTTAAATGAAATCCAAAATGTCATACAAACTAAAAAATAACTTACCCACTGCAGTTGTCTCTTGGTTCAGTGGTGGGGGAAAATTGATCTGAGGATTCAGTGCTAAAGATTCATGTGATTTGTCATAAGAAAAGAGGGTCGTAGAGGATGTTGGCAACAAAGAGCAAGCAAGAACAGTTCCATCTTGCTTCTCAGGTAAGTTAAGAGACATCTGAGAACCAGCACTACTTGAAGGCAGTGATGAAAAATAAGGATCTTCAACCAAAGACATGTAAGAGTGAACACTAGAAGCATTAGAGTCACGCTGGCTTACATTAGAGGTTTTCCACATTTGCTGCTTAGGGTCACATGGCAATGAATAATTCAGTTCTGCTGAAGAAGCATGCATTGCTTTTTGAGACTGCAGCTCCACAAGACAGGAATCATGTGATTGAGATTCCAAATAAGAAAAATTGTCCTTAATGTCCGACTCCTTGGTCTCTCTCTGCTGTATCAATTCAAAGGGAGTTGATTTGGTCCGTGTTATTGGCCCCTTTGGATTCAAATATCTTCCTGCTGCATTTACAGGTGTAGAATTAGAACATACTCTCCCAAAGATGGAGCTCAAGTCCAAGCTTTGATGCTTCTGAAGAGGTTCCCCAACTATTGGAAATGTCTTTGTCTGCCATTTCATCTCTGTGTCAGCAGTTTTGGTACAATCATAATTTAGCTCCAAGAAGTCAAAAGAAGTGCTTGATCTTGCAGGGTACAAAACTAACCCTTCCTTTGCATTTAATTCAGAAGTTCTAAAGTCAAAGGAAGAAGTTTCTGTATTTTCCACCTTTGTCACTTGCTTGCTCTGTTGGCTCATCAGCTTTGCTTCTTTTATGGTGCTGAAACAAAAAGAGTTATGATGACACTGTACCCCAAAGAGGCCTCCTCCTAGCTCACAATGAAGTATAAGCATGAGATTCATCTCCCAGACACAAGCAATCGACACTTATATAAAATTGTACTCACCTTTTTGGTAAGTTAGGAGAATAAAAATCTGTATGTGGAGTGGAATTTTGCTCAGGAGTTGAATATGTTGCTTGACTCTTGAAGAGAAATAAGTCAGATTGGTTTCAAGTGAAGTAATGGAAAAAAGTTATTTTAAAATTCAGAAGACAGAGACATGCCAATGGCAATAAGTTATTTTAAAATTCAGAAGACAGAGACATAATTTTTTAAAAAACATAAAAATGTAAAGTCATTCATGGAAAGATTTGTTGAAATTCCAAATTACTGAACCTGACAATGACTTGTTGGACTCAAAAGGATCAAAATAATGGATTAATAGTATTATAGAAACTAGAAAGTATTTGCTGTTAGCATCATTTTTTCAAATATGGGAGTTTTAAAATGTTGTTGGGGATAACTTCAGTCTCAAGAACTCTACTTTCAGAAACTTCAGTATCTCAACCCTCAAAGCTAGTAGATTCTTATTAGACCCCCATACCTAGCTCGTCTTCTATTCTTTTCCTTTCTCACTACATTCCAGGTATACTAGTTTTCTTGCCATTTTTTTTTAGCTTGCCAACAGTTTCCAGTTCAAAGCTTTTACACTTACTGTTTCCTCTGATTGATGTACTCTTGCTCCAAATTGCATAGCTGGCTCCTTCTAAGTAAATCTGTTTAAATGTCATCTGCATAAGGAAATCTTCCTTGACTGCCCAACCTAAAATCACACTCCCACATCTGCACAGCTACTCTCTGTTTGGTTTGGTTTGGTTTGGTTTGGTTTAGTTTTAAAGAAGTTTTAGCCAAAGGGCGTGTGTACTCCCTGGAAAGATAAAGACAGAGACTGAGAAGGAAAGTGAGAAATCAGCCCCCAGAGGGAATAGCTATGCCGCAATCCCTTCTCTTTTCTCCTCCTGCGATCTTGGGTATGCACACACGTACCTAGCATGATTTTCAAGCCACCAGGTCCAGGACTTGAACTATGATTGGCCATATGAGAGTCCAGCGATGTAACCACTACACCACTTGCTGGCCCCAGTTTTTCTTTTCTTTATAACAATTATCCCATTACAAAATTTGTTACTGTGATCAGCCAGATGGGCTAGCTGAGGCTGGGAGTAGATCACTGTATCAAGACCTTGTTGGGGTTATTCTCTTTCTCTTTCTCTCTTCCCATCTCTCTCTCTCTCTGGGAGGAAATAAATAAACTTTAAACAAAGTAAATAAAAGAAATTTATTGCTGTGTTTCATGAAATCTTAAGAGTTTGTAGATTGTAGGGCCAGCAGATGGCATAGTGGTCATGTCGCTAGACTCCCACATGGCTGACTGTGGTTCAAATCCTAGACCCAGTGTCTTGAAGATTATGCCAGGTACATGTGCATACATGCCCAAGATTCAAGAGGAAAAGGATTGCAATGTGAGGGGGTGGTCTCTCACTTTCCTTCTCACTGTCTCTGTCTCTCTCCAGCATGCACATGGGGCAAACATCTCTTTAAAAGGAAAAAGAGTTTATAGATTATAAAATATATCCTGATTTTAGAGATGTTTAAAATGAAAGAAAAAAAGTTACAATAGTATTGTGTTAAAATACCACCTGTCATGGATTTCATTGTGTTTCCCAAGAGAGGTATTGATATCTGTAACTGTGACCTTATTGTAAAATAGGGTCTTTGCAAATATAATTAGTTAATATGAGGTTGTACTGGATTAGAGTAGACCCTAACACAATAACTTGAATCCTTATTAATAAAGACAACAGAGACATGCAGAGAGAAAATGATGTGATGGTGAAGGAATAATACATCAATATCTAGAGCCAGTACAGAACAACGAATGATTGTCAACAGGCATAGAAATAAGGACCAATCAAGGAACATTATCTCCCTAGAGTTATAGAGGCCATGGCTCTGGTGACACCTTGACTTCAGACTTCCAGCCTCCAGAACTGTGAGCAAATATATTTCTATTGTTTTAAATGCCCCCAGTTTGTAGTACTTATTACAATAGCCCTAGCAAACTAATACAAGGACTTCCATACTCACACTTTCTTTTTTTTTTTAAAGAATTATTTATTTATTTATTTTTAAAAATTTGACCAAATAAAGACAAAGTAAAGCAAGCTGCCAGGTCTGGGACTCAAACCGCTGTCAGCCATGTGGGAGTCCAGTGCCTTAACCACCACACCACCTGTCGGCCCCATCCTCATTTTCAAATGAATAGGAAACCTAGACAGAAGATCACTATGGAAATAACTTGAAAAAGAACATAAACCAACTAGTCCACATAAATGTGTAGACATTCCACCCAACAATAGCAGAATGCAGTCTTCTCAAGTACACATGAACCATTTGCCAAGATAAACCATATATTAGGCCAAAATAAAAAATTAATCATTTTAAAAAGATCTTGGGCACACACACACACACACACACAGATTGAAGTCCTACAAAGTACCTTTCTGATCACAATAGAATGAACTAGAAATCAGTCACATGAAGAAAACTTGAAATTTCACAAATATGTGGAAATTAAACAGCACATAAACAATACACTCTTAAGCAACCAAAGAAATCACAAAGGAAATTAGTAAACACCTAAGACAAATGAAAACAAAAATACAACAAAACAAAATTTATGAGATACAGTGAAAACAGTGTTGAAAATTCATAGCTGCGAATGTATACATTAAACAGAGTTGGACAGTTGGACAGTGGTAAAACATGACACTCTACAAAGCTGACCTATGTGAGAACATTGCAGGTTTGTGTCCAGAGGCTTCCAGGAACACATCAGGCATGCATGTGCCCAAGATCTGGGGGCTGGCTGAGCTGGGGTGGATTGTAGAATCAAGATTCTGTTTGGAGTGTTCTCATCTATGCCTGATTCTCTGTCTCTCTTGTTCATAGAAGAAATACATTTTTCAAAAAAGAAGAGAGCTAGCTGGTTATATGGTGGTAAAGGAGGTTGGATCCTACATGGCTGACTATATGGTTCAAATCCTAGACTCCGTGGCTTGAAAAATACGATGGGCTCGTGTGTGCATGTGCCCAAACACCTCAAAGGAGAACAGAGGAGAAAAGACTGTGATGTGGTCTTCACGGGGGGGTGGGGGGGTGCTTTCTGACTTTCCCTCCCTCTCTGTCTCTCTCTAGTGAGCACATACATTCTCTAGCAAAATAAATAAATAAATAAATAATAAAAATATAAGAAAAAGAAAAGTTCCCAAATCAATAACCTAATTTTACATTTTAAGGAACTGGGAGGGGGGGGAAGCTAGCAGAAGAAAGGAAAAAAGATTTTAATGGAGATACATGAAAAAGAAATAGGAAAAAAAAATAGAGAAACTCAACAAAACTAAGTTTGTTCTCTGAAAAAAATCCATTAAGTCAACAACCCTTGAGCTGAACTGATTAAGGAAAAAAGAGAAAGAAGACTTAAACTGCAGATATTACTACCAGTTTTACAGAAATAAAAAGCAAATACCATGAATAATTGTATGCCAACAAATTGGGATAACCTAAATAAAATAGACAGATTCTTACAGACATACAATCTATCAAATATGACTTAGGGGTCTAGCAGATGATGTGGTGATTAAGACACTGAATCTCATATGGCCAACTGCGCTGTTTGAGACCTGGATCCAGTGGCTTCAAAAGCATGCTGGACATGTGCGCGTGAACCCCAAGTTCCCAGAGGCAATTGGAGGAGAAGGGACTGTGTCATGGTCATCAGCCCTGGGGGGTGATTTCTCACTTTCCTTCTCTATTTCTGTCTCTCTGGTGAGCACATATGCCCCATGGCAAAAAAAAAAAAAAATGAAAAGACTTAGAAAAAAATAGGAAATCTGAATAGACTAACAGCTAGTAAGGAGATTGAATCAATAATCAAAAACCTCCCCAGCAAGAAAAGCCCACGAACAGATGGCTTCATTGTAGAATTACCAAAAGATTGAGTAATTCCAGTTCTGGGTATACCCAAAGGAACTAAAAACAGGGATACATGGAGATATTTATACACCCATTTTCATAGCAAGCATTATTTCCAATAGCCAGAAGGTAAAAGCATCCCAGTGTCCATTGAGAGATACACAGAAAAAACAATATATATATATATATATTGTGTGTGTGTGTGTGTGTGTGTGTATATATAATTTCAAAAGGTCATAGAAAAACGGAATTAAAGTATGAGTTTATTGAGACTGGCACGTGGAGTAGTGGTTATGGTGCTAGACTCCCACACAGTCAACCTGTAGTTTGAGTCCTGGACCTGTTGGCTTGAAACTCACACTGTGTGTGTGTGTGTGTGTGTGTGTGTGTGTGTGGGCCCAAAATCCCGA